AGATGGGGTGTTCCAGCCAGCAGGGGGCAGCAGGGACACACACACACGCACACACACACCCACTCACACACACAGGGCAAGAGATGGGGTGTCCCAGCCAGCAGGGGGCAGTAGGGACACAGACACACAGACACACACGCACACACACAGGGCAAAGGATGGGGTGTTCCAGCCAGCAGGGGGCAGTAGGGACACAGACACACAGACACACACGCACACACACAGGGCAAAGGATGGGGTGTTCCAGCCAGCAGGGGGCAGCAGGGACACACACACACACACACACACACACACACACACACAGGGCAAGGGATGGGGTGTTCCAGCCAGCAGGGGGCAGCAGGGACACACACACTTCCCCAGCTGGCTGTAGGACACACCTGTCTGCAGCAGGGGGTGCTTTCCCTGGTTACCCCCCACCCAGCTATCCCCGGGACTCTCCAGGTGCTGGGTTCCAGCCCCAGCTCTGGGAGGGGAGCGGGGTCTAGTGGTTAGAGCGGGGGGGCTGGGAGCCAGGACTCCTGGGTTCTATCCCCAGCTCTGGGAGGGGAGTGAGATCTAATTGCGGGGGGAGGGGGAAGGATTTGCAATGCTCCCTGAAATGTTTATGAGCAGTGTCTGTTTCACAGCAACGCTGCAGGGGGACGGCTCATCCGGTGCTGGGATGCAGCCAGCTCTGGGGTGGGACAGCCAGGGGACAGCCGCATGCAGTCACTCAGTGCTTTCCTTTCTGATTAACAAGTGCCTGGGCCAGCACGCGCCTGGCACGAGGAATCAGGGATGTAATTGGCATCTCTTCCCGCCGTAGGATCAGCAATAAAAATACTTTACAGGCTATTAACTGCAGCAGGAACTGGTCAAATAGCAAGTTCTGTAAACAGCTCTCAGCTGGAAAGCACCGGAGCGTTCGGCCCCCGCTGCCAAGAGAAACCGGCGCAGCTGCCACAGCAGGAAAAGAAATAAATTGATCTATGAGCATTTGCCAGGAGCTGTATTTATCTGAGAGATCTGTGCGTCCTGTACGAGGGGATGCAATGCCAGAGCGTGGCACAGGGGGCGCTGTGCTGCAGGGGGTGGGATGGGGGCTCTCCTCTGGCAGTCTGGGCTGGCCCCAAAGCCCCAGGGTGGCACTTGGGGGTGCTGTGCTGCAGGGTATGTGTGTGTGGGGGAGTGGGGGCTCTTCCCTGGCAGTCAGGGCTAGCCCTGA